GATTTTTAGTTTCATGCCATTGTGATCTGAGAAGATGCTTGATATGATTGCAGTCTTCTTGAACTTGTAGAGACTTAGTTTGTGCCCTAACATGTGGTCTATCTTTGAGAATGTCCCATGTGCACTTGAGAAGAATGTGGATTCTGTAGTTTTGGGGTGTAATTCTCTGTAGATATCTATTAAATCCATTTGGTCTAGTGCTTCATTTAGAGTCTCTGTTTCCTTGCTAATTTTTTGTCTAGATGATCTATCTAGTGATATCACCGGAGTGTTGAAGTCTCCTGCTATGATTGTATTGCTATCGATTTCTCCTTGGAAGTCCTCCAGAAGATTTTTAATATATTTTGGTGCTCCTATATTGGGTGCATATATGTTTACCAAGGTGATATCTTCTTGTTGGACAGATCCTTTCAATATTATATAGTGGCCTTCTTTGTCTTTATTTATGGCCTTCATTTTGAATATACTTTATCAGATATGAGTATTGCTACCCCAGGTTTTTTTTCTTTTCCGTTTGCTTGAAAGATTTTTTTCCATCCCTTCACTTTCAACCTAGGTGAGTCTTTTGTTGTTAGGTGGGTCTCTTGTAAACAACATATATGTGAATCATGCCTTCTTATCCAGTCAGCTACTTTGTGTCTTTTTGTCAGAAAATTCAAACCATTCACATTTAAGGTGATAACTGATATGTACTTATTTATTGCCATTGTGTTTAGTGTGGTTCTATTTTTTTTTTCCTATTTCTTCTACTAATTACGGCAGTCCTTTTAGCATATCTTGTACTGTTTGTTTGCTGTTAATATATTCCCTTAGCCTTTTTTTTTTTTGGTCTGGAAAGTTCTTTATTTGATGTTCTATTTGGAATGACAGCCTTGCTGGGTAGAGTAGTCTTGGATTCAGTTTCTTGTTTTTCATGACTTTGATTACTTCATGCCACTCCCTCCTGGCCTGTAGTGTTTTTGTTGAGAAGTCAGTTGAGAGCCTTATGGGGTTTCCTTTGTAGGTAACCTGTTGCTTATTTCTTGCTGCCTTTAGGATCCTCTCTTTGTCTTTAATTTTGGCATTTTAATTACTATGTGTCTTGTTGTGGGTCTGTTTGGGTTCTTCTTACTTGGGGCTCTCTGTGCTTCTTGAACTTGAATGCCTTCTTCCTTCAACATGTTAGGAAAAATTTCGTCAAATGTATTTTCTAACCCTTGCCCATTTTCTTCCTCTTTGAGGACTCCTATGGTGCGACTGTTATGTTTCCAGTTGTCCCACAGTTCTCTTAACCTGTCTTCTTGGTTTTAAATTGTTTTTTCCTTTGGTTTTCTGATTCGTTAATTTTTTCTACCCTGTCTTCTAATTCACTGATCCGGTCCTCAGCTTCCTCTACTTTGCTGGTTAGTTTTTCCCATGTGTTCTTAATTTCTGCTATGTCATTCTTCATTTCCACTTGGTTGTTTTTCAATGTTTCTTTATCTTTATTCATGGTGCTGGTGTCCTTACTTATGCTGTTGAGCTTCTTCTAGATCATGGCTCTGAACTCTACCTCTGATAATTTGCTTAACTGCATTTCATCGATCTCATCATTGATAGAGTTCTCTTGTTCTTTCATTTGGGATTTGTTTCTTTGTTTCATCATTTTGGTTATCTCAGTGGGTTGTGGAACCTGCCAAATTTTCCCTGTGGGTGTTGGTGTTCCTGTGTTTGTGACTCCCTCTCCTGGGTTTGGATGAGCCCGGGTGGTCCCACTTTAAACACCAGTGTCAAGTCTTACTTCCTGTGTAGATTTTCATGCCCAGGAAAGGTTCAGTTATCCTTTAGCTTTTTCCTGGTGACTAATAGTCTCAGTTACTCTGTGCCTTTGAATGTAGTGTGGTGTTCTGCATAAAAGGATTTCTAGAGGTTGGGATAGATGCTGGTTATTAATGAGCCTCAACTTGCATTTCTTTGCCTCACCTGGGAAAGGCTGAATCTCCAAGGGTGGGGTGGGGCTGATGCTTTTCCCCACTGCTCTGGATAGGAGCACACTGTCCACCATCCTTTGTGGCTGCAACTCAGCAAAAACTCTGAGTGCCCTCCAAATTTTGGGTGTCCCCAAAGAGTTCCAGCCCAATCTGTCCTCCCTCTGCCGTAGCTCCCAGGTGAGTGGCTATGGCTATTTTAGCGCTCTGTCCCGGATCTCTGCACTGTGGATCGGGCTTGGTCTTTATTCTCCAAGGGTGCTGCTTACAGCTAAGACTCCTGCTGTCTGTGGGCTCCCAACCCGCCACTCTCTCACACCTCCACAGATCCTACCGGTGTCCCTGGTTATATGGTCCTGTCCTGCTGCTTTTCTGTTGCTTTTTTTCAAGGATTTGTCTTTATTTTAGTTGTAATTCCCCTTTTGTCCTGGGAGATTTTCTGTGTAGCTTCTACTCATTCCGCCTCCATTTTCACATTCTCTAAGCCTATCTTGCACACATCTGGGTCACACAGGCCTTTCTGGTTCCTCGCACCCTGCAGGTCCCATGGGTAACTGGATCGCACCGTCCCCTTGGGGACCAGGCTCTATGCCTGTGTTATGGGCTGCTGAAGTGCACAGGCTTCTCTGGTGCTTCAGCACCCCACAGGTCCTGCAGGGTAACTGGATGGCACAGTCCCTGCTGGGTCACACAGGCCTCTCTGGTGCCCTTGCACCCTGTGGGTCCTGGGGGTGGGTAGCTGGATTGCACCAGTCTCTCCTAGGCTCCAGCTTCCCACTGCTCTTGTGGGCTACTGAACTGCAGAGGTCTCTGTGGAGTCCCAGGTCCCGCTGCTGGTGGCTGGGAAGTGCTCCTTCACCATGGGGCTCAACTGCTGCTCAGTGTTTGCTGTAGTTTTGGGGGATGGGTCTCAGCTGCTGCTCTGTGCTTCTTTTGCCTGGGGATGGATGTCTGCTCCCTAGCCTCTGTTTCTGGGGTTATATCTGGACACTGATCGGGCTGCTACTATGGGGGATGGTGCTGGGCTCCAGGCTGTCTGTGGCTTCTGCGATCATCACCTTGGGAGCTCCACTACTGTGCACTGGTCTGTGTTGACACAGAGTGTCCACTGGTCCAATGGTGCCAGGTGTGCTTGAGGGCTCAGGTTGCTGGGCCCTAACTGCTCCCACTGCCTCCTCCCAGGGAAGACCAAGGATCTTCCAAAATGGTGGGACCTCCCCATGGCACAGGGAGAAGTGCCCTGAAGAGCCACTTACCACAGTATCCAGCTGTTCTGGTCCACGGCACAGGAACTTTCTGCTCCATGGTTCTGCGCTGCACAAGTTTGGTCATCTACCTTCACGTCCACTCACATTCTCTCACTCTCTCACACCCTCACCCTCCCTCCAGTCCTGTCCACTGCCATCTTCCTGGTATATTGTTTTATAATCTGTTTTTTCACTTAACAGATTACTGTGAACACGCCCCCCCAATGATAATTCTTAATTTGTGCATATTAATCCACCTTTTTGATACAGTTTTAATCAGTTGCCTATTATTTGATATTAAATTTTCAATTTTTTTGCTACTTTAAATAATATTGCACCCTGGCTGGTTTGGCTCAGATGTTAGAGCAGCGGTTCTCAACCTGTGGGTTGTGACCTCTTTGGGTGTCAAATGACCCTTTTAAAGGGGTTGCCTAAGACATAACAGTAGCAAAATTACTGTTATGAAGTAGCAACAAAAATAATTTTATGGTTAGGGGTCACCACAACATGAGGAACTGTATTAAAGGGTTGCGGCATTAGGAAGGTTGAGAACCACTGGGTTAGAGAGTCGGCCCACAAACTGGAGAGTCCGGGTTCGGTTCCCACTAAGGGCACGTACCTCAGTTGCAGTTTGTCCCCAGCCCCAGTGGGGGTCGTGTGGGTGGCAACCACTCGATGTGTCTCTCTCACATCTATGTTTCTCTCTCTCTTCCTTCCTCTCTACCTTCTGTTCTATCTGAAGATAAATGCAAAAATGTCCTCAGGTGAGGATTAAATATAATAATAATAATAATAATATTGCTGTGGTGGGAGATATTAAAAATTAAAAATCGTTCTTTGCCTCATAAAATGAGGCATAAAATGTAACTATAAAATGATTACCCTTTCTTAAAAGACAAAATATAATGTTGTAAGCACTGTTCCTAAGCAAGTTGTAACAAAGCTTACTATATGTCTTTTTAAAATGTTTTTATTGAATTTTTGAGGGAGAGGAAGGGAGAGAGACATAGAAACATTGATGTGAGAAAGATCATCAATCGGCTACCTCCTGCATGCCTCCTACTGCGGACTGAGCCCGCAACCTGGGCATGTGCCCTGACCAGGAATTGGACCGGGACCTCTCAGTCCATGGGATGATGAAATCCACTGAGCCACACTTGTTGGGCACTATATGTCTTTTCTGTAAGGGATTTGCAATTCTGCACCGAAGATGTTGATAAATATGTGGAAGATCTCCTGTTTGAGCTCCTTTCATGGATCATACTGATTCATCCTTTCTCACTCTATTTAAAAAATAAACTGGGAGTTTGCCCTAGCTAAGATTAATATTTTATGCTTTATTATACTGTTTTTTTTTTTTAAAGTCATACTCTATTCCACAGTGAATATATATTAGTGTTATTAAACACTTTCCACAAAATGTTTGGTATAAAATATGGAACATATTTCTCTCATAATTTCTAACACAGTTTTAAAAACTCATTCAAAGTTTAGTTTTTCCTCTGCATAAATACTTTAATAAGCAATGACATTTAAATTCTCTCTAAAGGCTTTCCCATATCAAGACACTTTTAGTTTTTCCACTTTTGAACTCTTTCATATACAATTTGCCTCGCATGTGTAAGAATTCTGGGTGAAAAATCGATCACATTTATTATATGCTTCTACAATTATACTTTTGTACTTCTTATTAAATTAAATGAACATTAAATAATATATGAATAATTTCTGACCTTAAGAGTTACTTCCCAGGATTGATATATAATAAGGTATAACTATTAGTGATGTTACCCCACTCTCAAGTGTATTAGATGGTTTTATCTCCTGAATGACTTCTCTGATGTTTAATGAGAGTTGACTTCCCACTGAAGGCTTTGCCATACTCTTTGCATTCATAGGGTTTCTCTCCTGTATGAGTTCTATGATGTACAGTGAGAGTTGATTTTACACTGAAGGCTTTCCCACATTCGCTACACTCATAGGGTTTTTCCCCTGTATGAGTTCTTTGATGTTTAATAAGAGTTGACTTCCTACTGAAGGCTTTCCTATAGTCACTGCATTCATAGGGTCTCTCTCCTGTATGAATTCTCTGATGTTTAATCAGTGGTGACTTCTCACTAAAGGCTTTCCCACATTCATTGCATTTATAGGGTTTTTCTCCTGTATGAGTTCTCTGATGTACAATAAGGGTTGATTTATCACCAAAGGCTTTCCCACATCTTCTGCATTCATAAGGTTTCTCTCCTGTGTGAATTCTGTGATGGACAGAGAGGTGTGATTTTCCACTGAAAGTCTTCCCACACATGCTACATTCATAGGGTTTTTCTCCTGTGTGAATTCTCTGATGAACAGAGAGGTGTGACTTTCCCCTGAAGCTTTTTCCACATTCACTGCACTCATAAGGTTTCTCTTTTGTATGTATTCTCTGATGTTTAATGGGGGTGGGATTCTCATAAAAGGCTTTCCCATGTTTACTGCACTCAGGTTTCTCACTCATATGAGTCCTTTGATTCATAAGGCTGGACTTACCACATTTGATACCTTCATAAAATGCTTGTCTGACTTATGTTTTTTCATGTCTAATAAGGTGAAATGAACTCTTAAAAGCTTTTGCATATTTACCACATCCAAATGGTTTCTCTCCTGTATGAGTTCATTGATGTTTAATCAGAGTTGACTTCTGGATAAAGGTTTTCCCACATTCACTGCATTTATAGGGTTTCTCCCCCGTATGAGTTCTCTGGTGTGCAATGGGGGTTGACTTCTGGCTGAAGGCTTTTTCACATTCACAGCATTCATAAGGTTTCTCTCCGGTGTGAGTTCTCTGATGTACAACAAGGTTTGCTTTCTGGATAAATGCTTTTCCACAATTAGAACATTCATAAAGTTTCTCCCCAGTTTGAATTCTCTGACTTTTAAGGGCTTGCTTATGGTGGAGGGCTTTTCCACGTTGATTAGGTTCATATAATTTCTCTCCAGGTTGAGCTCTATCAAGATTAGAATGGAAAAATAATTTCCAATATGCCTGACATTCATCATATTTCTTTCTTACATAGCTTCTTTTTTGACTAAGGAAGTTTAAATTATGTTTTGAACATCTTTCCCATGAATAATGTTTAAGGAGTCTTTGTCTTATAGAAACAAAGTCTGTGCTGGGATAAATAATTTTTCTGCATGTTCTTATTTCTTGGTCACTTTCATCCTTCAGTGCTTCCTTGTCTATAAATGTAGCTTGCCCAAGAGATTTATCTTGGCTTTCTTTGTGGTTATCTCTCTGGTCATCAATTTGCCAGAATTCTAGGAAAAAAGTCAATGAACTTGTAAATGTTTCTACTATAATTTTCTAGGATAAAATTAATTCATTAACATCCTGCTAAGAACTCCTATCAACAGACTTGAGCTGATGTCAATGGACCTTCCCTATGCTCCACCTCTACCATCACCACTACCACCACCATCACCTCCCCTAACTGAAAATATAAAGAAATACTAGCCCATATTAAAAAAAATGATTTAAAACACAGTCAAGCTCAAAATAAAGAAAATAATTTCATTATATGTGAAAAGTAAAGTAGGAAATTAAAGTTGGGGTGGCGGGGTGAACAGAAACAGAAGCTTGAGGATTTGCAGGGGAATCCAAACCACATGGCACAAATGTTCAGGAATGTAATTTGTGCTTAAAGCTGGAATCACAAAGGGTTTCCTTTCTTGATTAACAGGAACTAGAAACACTCTCCACTGGTCAAGGAAATTGGAAATAAGGATATTATATATAAGAAATAAACAACCTAGTTCTGTAACCCAATCAAATGATTATCAGTGTGGTACAGAGACAAGCTGAAAAATTAACCTAAAATTGGTCCTGTTATTAGTATGTTTCTAGCAGTGACAGACTTTCCAAAATGTATATTCTTATGTTTTTATAGCTTAGGGCTCATAGAACATCTATGGACAACCAATTCTTGCTGAAGAGCTCACAGCAAGAAATTGAAAACTTCACAAGAAAATGAATTATCTTGAGAGAGAATTAGTAGATACATTTAAAGATACTCCCACGTTCCTAGAAGTGTAGCTAGAAGGACCATATGGACTGCAAAATAAATACATTTCAAGTGTACAAAGAAATCAGGTAAGAACTAGACTATGGGTGAGAAACAGGAAATTTTTGGAAAAAACAAATATAAATATAAAAGAATATCCAGGTGTTGTTAAAAAAAAAAAAACTAGAGAAGTTGAACTAGTCATAGATAAAAATAGATTTAATGAATTAGATGACAGATCTTGAGAAACCACAAAAAATGTAGCATAAAGAGCTAACAAAATGGAAATATGGTAGGAGAAATAGAGAAATGAGAAGTTCTAACATAGGTTTAATATAAAATCCAAATGGAAGAATAGAGAAAAATGAAGAGGGACAATATGCCAAGAAACAGGTTAACAGAGAGGCTTTGAGAGTGCTATACTTAGAAAGACCTGCTTGAAAGATTGGCCCTTGGTTGACATCTGGAAATTTGGAGTTTAGGAACGACCCCACCATTCCCTAACTGATAAGGTTTCTCGTACAAACAATGTGATTTATGTTGAACATTTCCTTTTCTGCTTGAGGTGCTGAACACCTGTTCTTCTGGGAGTCTAGATGCCTGACCATTAAAGGGTGATGATTTTCTGGCCTGAGGTGCTTATTTTAGTAGGTCAACTTGGAATCTCCCACAGACAAAGTTAAAATGGATTTTTGAAAAACCGTGCTTGTTACTTGGACTTATCTTGTACTTGTCTTGGACTTGCCACATGCACTTGGCTGTCTAACTTGGTTTTGCTTGAGAAAGAAACAACCATCCCTATGGGGATTTATCTCGTACCAAGTACTCAGCAATACTGGTGAAATGATCTCATCTCAGGGCACATAAGGAAATGTTAGAGAGCATGAGATAAAGGGGGAAAATCTTATAAGCCTATGGAAAGAAAATAAATGATACTAAGTATTAATGATCAGAACAGCTTCAGAGCTCTCAAAAGGAACATTAAAATCAGAATACAATGGAGCACCCTGGCTGGTGTGGCTCAGCTGGTTAAACAACGTCCCATGCACTGAAAAGTTGCTGGTTCTATTGCTGGTCAGGGCACATGTTTGGGTTGCAGGCTCAATCCCAGGGAGGGAGCATGCAGGAGGAAGCTGACTGAGTTTCGACTGCAGATTGATGTTTTTTTTTTTCTCTCTCCCTCTCTGTTCCTCTCTCTCTAAAATTCAATAAAAATATATTTTAAAAAAGTATACAATGGAGCAATGCCTTCAAAAGTCTAAGGGAAAGAAATGTCCATCCTAGAATTCTACCTCAAACTGAACTCTCCATCTAGGATGAGTATATAACAGACATTTTTAGATATCATTCAAAAAACAATTTACCTCCTATGGACCTACATAGGAAAGTACATTCTAAGGAAATTACTGGAAGAATGTGCTACAATGAAATGTGGAAGAAGAGATGGGGGAATCCAACAATGCAGAAAGTGGAGGGAATCCCCAGAATGATGGTGAAGAGAGATGTTAGGATGGCAGCTGTGCAAGCGGGAATGAAGAGAATGTACCCAGAAGGGAGTGGTCAGAAGGCACCAGACAAACTTGAGGGTATGACACTGAAGAAACACTAGCTCTGGAAGCATTCAGAGTCAGTCTAGATAACTGGTCATGAAAAGTTTTAAATGAACTGGTGGTAAGTACACAGAGAAAGAAGCAATGAAAGAAATAAGACAATTAACCAAAGGAAATAAAAAGTTATATAGGAAAGCTAAATTAATAAAAAATTACCACATGGCTCCCCTAAGAAGCCTGAAGCACCAATCAGAAAGAATATATGTACCCCCATGTTCATAGCAGCACTATTTACAATAGCTAAGATCTGGAAACAGCCCAAGTGTCCATCAGTAGATGAATGGATAAAAAAGCTGTGGTACATATACACAATGGAGTACTACACAGCTGTAAGAAATAAAGATCTCTTATCCTTTGAGACTACATGGAGGGACCTGGAAAGTATCATCCTAAGTGAAACAAGCCAAACAGAGAAAGACAAGTTTCATATGATCTCACTTATTTGTGTAATATAATGAACATAACAGTCTGAGGAATGGGGTAGTCCCAGAGACGTGGAAGTGGGGTACAGACTGACAATCCCCTAAAGAGGGGGGTGGTGGGGGAGAGATAAACCACAGAACTTATATGCATGTATGCATGAACAGTGGACATGGACAACAAAGGTGGGGACATGGTGGGGAGGGAGGAGGAGGGGGGAATCAGTGGGGGGAAAAGGAGAAACAACTGTAACAAAAATTAATTAATAAAAAAAATTACCACATGGCTCAGCTGTATATAGTGTTTAGGTAGTCATGTTATAATCAATAGTACTGACTTCTGGTCAAGATGTCAGTGTAGGTAAATGAAATACTCATCTCCTCCCACAACATCAAAATTACAACTAAACTACAGAACAACCATAATTCAAAACCCCCTGAAATCAAGCTGAATGGGGTCCCTGTCCCACACCAGGCCCCCAGGTCAGGGTTCCAGTGCCAGGAAGAGAAGTCCCCATAACTTCTGGCTGTAAAAATCAGTGGGAATTGAGTCTGAGGCTTCTGGAGCCCCACGCAGTTCCTCTTAAAGGGCCCATGAACAGACTTACTCAGACTCGCATCCTCCAGGCTCCAGCGTGGTGGAGGCAGCTTGAAAAGCACCGGAGACATATGGGGAAGAACAGGTGTTTGGCACAAGGGCAAGAGCTGTAGGACAGCTTTCTCTCAGACAGACATGCTGGCGGAGGGCGTTGTTCCTTTGGTAAGCCCTTCCCCCACGGGGCAATCAGACAGGCACCATATCTGGGACTCCAGCAACCTGGCTCATACTGTTTGCTCTGCCTTGGTGATTCCCTGAGGCCCTGCCCCACCCAACATTCAGACAAACCCAGGCTGTTTCGGGTACCTTTATCATAGAAATGGCCTGTCTTGGTTCCTGTTCCAGATTTTCCTAAATTCTCTAAAAAAAAAAAGCAGCATCTGGCCAGGCCAATGTGGCACAGTGGTTGAGCATTGACCCGTGCACGAAGAGGTTACCAGTTTGATTCCTGGTCAGGGCACATGCCCAGGTTGTGGGCCTGATCCCAGGGGGGGGGGGGCAGGAAGGATGTGGCCAATCAATGTTCTCTCATTGATGTTTTTATCTGTCTCTCCCTCTCCCTTCTTCTCTCTCTAAAATCAATAAAGAAAAAAAAAGCAGGATCTGGCCTCATTGAGCCACATACCTCTCACTAAGTGGCCCCAGACCCAGTACTAGGAGCAGCCGTCCTTGGTTCACAATTTGGCTTTGCCTGGGCACCTCCAAAGCCAGCACAAGAAGCAGCTATCTGCAGATTGCTTTGTGGCTTATATCTGGTGGCCCTAGGTAGAACACAGGCAGTGGCTGACTTTGCCCCAGAGCCAGCACACCCAGTAGACAGCTGACCATGGTGGAGCAACACGACCCAACCACCTCCACAAATGACACACTCAAGGAGTGGACTCAGTGGGTATGAGAGCCCTGCTGAAGTAAGTCTTGTTCTGTGTGGCCCTCCAAGATAGTCAGAGGTCAGTGGTCAGTGGTCACAGCCAGTCCTTGCAGCTGATCAGCATGAGTAAATCCCTCCCACTGATATGCCAATAGCAATCAAGACTCAATTAAAACAGAAGGGTGTACAGTCCACATGAGGGGTGCACCTCTAGGGCCCAGCTGGGGTGATCAGGGAGGCTGTGACACTGGACCCTACAGGGCACCTACTATAATAGGCCACCCTAGGAAGCCTAGAAGACATAGCAACTCTACCTAATACATAGAAACAGATGCAGGGAGGCAGCCAAAATGAAGAGACAAAGAAACATGTCCCAAATGAAGGAACAGAACAAAACTCTAGGAAAAGAACTCAAAGAAATGGAGATAAGCAATCTAATAGATGCAGAGTTTAAAACACTGGTTATAAGGATGCTCAATAAACTTAGTGAAGGCCTTAAGAGCATGAAAAAGGACCAGTCAGAAATAAAGGCCGCACTAACTGAAATAAAGAATAATTTACAGGGAATCGATAGCAAACTAGGCCAAGCCAAGAAGCAAACCATCAATATGGAATATAAGGAAGCAAAAAACACCCAATCAGAACATCAAAAAGAAAAAAAATGTAAAAAAAATGATGGTAGTGTAAGGAGCGACTGGTCAACTTCAAGTGTGCTAACATTCGCATCATGGGGGTGGCCAGAAGGAGAAGAGAGAGAGCAAG